GGGGGGTTTTTTTCTCTCTTTCTTTTTCATTTTCCCCCCTGGGGGCTTTTTTTTACCCCCCCCCCCTTTATGTTTGCCCAGCCCTCCACAGGCTTCTGAGTAGTGGGGGTCAGTTTCGGCCTCCAGGTTCCCGCCCCACCGGGGCCCGGGCTAGCATGGGGGGCAAGCAGAGCACGGCGGCCCGCTCTCGGGGCCCCTTCCCGGGGGTCTCTACCGATGACAGCGCCGTGCCCCCGCCGGGAGGAGCGCCCCACTTTGGGCACTACCGGACAGGCGGCGGGGCTATGGGGCTGCGCAGCCGCTCGGTCAGCTCGGTGGCGGGCATGGGCATGGACCCCAGCACGGCCGGAGGGGTGCCCTTTGGCCTCTACACCACCGCCTCCCGCGGGACCGGCGACTCAGAGAGGGCGCCGGGCGGCGGAGAGTCCACGTCGGACTCCACCTATGCTCACGGCAATGGTTACCAGGAGACAGGCGGCGGTCACCATAGAGACGGGATGCTGTACCTGGGCTCCCGAGCCTCGCTGGCGGATGCTCTACCTCTGCACATCGCACCCAGGTGGTTCAGCTCGCACAGTGGTGAGTCCGCGGGCGTCTGAGGCCTTGAAGGGTGGAGTGCAAGGGAGGACGCGCCGGGGCGCCCCAAACCTCTTAGTGTGCTAAGCTATGGGTATGAAGCTAACTCCTGCCTTTCCCTTGTGATTCCTTCTGTGCCAGAGGATGAATAGGATCAAGTGGGATAACTACTGGCTAGGGAAAAAGCTGTCTACCAGGCTGCGGAGCCGGGCGTTTTAGGACTGCAGACATGTGTTCACTTGTGGATGGCAGAGTGAAACCTGCCCATTGAAGTCCGTTTATTAGCATCATGATCCTCAGAAAAGAGGTCTTCTTGTCTGGCTTACAGTTTGGACTCTTCATTTCTGCCTCTGTAGCATGGTGCCTACCTGTCTGGTTAGGGAGCTAGTGTCTCCTAAACAAAGAGTGAGAAATAAAACTAGGGGGCAGGTGGTTCTTGGACTAGGGTTCCTACCCTTGCTAGGAAAGGGAGGAGGCTGGTTTTTCCACCCAGCTGTGTATAAATTGATTAAAATGGAGCAGGAGGCTGCCTTAGACAGGTGTGGTCTGCTGTATGGAAAGCCTCCCTCCTTGGATTTGCAGGACCAGGAGTCTGGTCTCTCATGCTGCATTCAGTAGACTTGGCTCATTGACTCTCACATCCCTCCATCTTTTTTCTCCTACTCCATGCTAAGTGCTTGCTTTCCCGGTGAATCTGCATCTTTTTTTTTTTTTTTTTCTAAAACAGAGCACCGGCAAGGTGGGGTATTATTGCCCAGCAGTTGGCACATGACTGGGGAAGAGGAAGGTTGAAAAAATCTGGATGAATTCATTCTGTGCACTTCTGGTGACAGGCCAGGAAAAGGCTGGAGGGGGATTTCCCAGGCTCGGCTGGTAGGGCAAAAAAGGCCTGGCAGGCTCTTCTAGAGGAAAACAGGTCTGTCTGCTTGGCTGTCCTGAGAAGGCAGGACAGGCTTCTGGAAAATTGGTCAAAAGGGGTGTGGGACTACTCTTTGTTAATTAGCAGTTGAAGTGAAGAAGTTACATATTCAGATTCCTTTGGGTGAGTTGAGAAATTTTAGTCACTGTGTAGGAGAAAGCTTTCTCATATCCTTAGGGTACATTATGGAAGGTTTACCTGTGGGATTACTTTTGTAGCTATTTCAAAACCGAGTAGGATTTTTGGGTCTCTTTTTTTTTTCTTTCTTTCGATCAATTCCATAGGATAGTGAATAGTTTAGAGCCGCTCTGACTTTAATTAAACTGTTGGAAATCAGATACAAGGCATGTCTGCCTGCGGTACCCTTTAGGCATTTGTTCTGCGTTAGGCATCTTGGAATTAATAATCCTTCTAGATAGTTGAATCCAGAAGGAGTCAACTGTGTTTGTGAGACTTCTGTGATTACGTTTGTAAATAAACTGTCATTAAAACTGAAAACAGTGTAAATCCGTTCTCTAAAATCACAGAATTTTTAGTGTAGCCAACAGCTCATTTTATAAAGGCTTGTATGGAGGAGTGAGAAAAGGAGTTACCTTTTGGGTAAGATTCCTGAAGTCTGTCTCTTACTAGAAACTTCTCTTATCCTTGTTCCACTGCCAGATCCCCTGATAAAATTATGAACTTATAACTGAATTCTGAAATCTCACACTTCAGCCATGAAGCCTTAGAGTCTCCCCCACCCCCCCATTCAGGCCTGAGATTAGGAACACCATTGAACAATGGGAAGACAAGAAAAGTTGGAGATATTAATCCTTTCAGTGTGTGTGTCCGGCCCTTATTAACATTATAGGTAACACATTTATTTATTTATTTTTAGTATTTGTTTTTATTTATTTTAGTATATAGGATCATCCTGTCCTTTTACAAGACTTTGAGCCTATTGAATGCCCAGGGCATCCTGCAGTTCACCTCAAACTGCCACCATGAATTCCCAGATGCCTTTTGCTGGGGTGGCTGTACCGGGCAGATTGAGGGATTCGTTCTTTTGTACAAATAGAGTAATTAGTTCTTCCTGTGCTGTTCACTTGAGGTGAGTTCTCATTTGCATCAGTGGTTCTGTCTCCTGGAACAGGCCATGGAATTTTCTGGGGCATCCTTTTCTCTCTTGTTCACGGCTGCAAGAAGAGAAGCCGTTTCCACTTTGGAGCCTTTGAGTCAGGTCTGAGCAGCTTTTGCTCTTGTGTGGTAAGATTCCACCGGTAGGACTTTCAGTGCTTGATTGACCAGATGTCTGGAAATTGATATAGTGTTATTACTTGTGTTTTCAAGATGCTTTGGGGACTCCTCTCAGCACAGAAAGCTGTCATTAGTGAAATAAGTCAAAGCTTCAGGCTTATGCTATGTCTGGAAGTAGAATGCCAAGGGGTTCCAGCCTTAGGTCCTCTTCTGAGTAGCTTTGACCTTGGACAAGACACAGCACCTTTCTCTAGGCTCGTCTTTGTCATTTTAAAAATAGATGTGGTAATCCTCAGTGGTGGCAGCTTGTAATGGTTGTTCTCCAAAACCCTATGAGAGGATATACTGCAGTTGCATTTGTCTTCCATGTTCCTGTGCCTTCCTCATGCTGTGACCCTTGTAGATCTTGAGGTCTTTATGACAGAAATGTTTGTTCTTCCATTCTTCACATAGATAGCTCCTATGGACCCGTTAGGGCTCAACAGAAATTTCTCCTCAGAGGCCACTCTTAACATCTGGCCCTTCCTGTGATTGTTTTCAATCATTTGTGGTAATCTTAATTTTTTTTAGCACATTTTATAAACATTTATTTATCTGCTTACTTATTTTTCTTGTAGTTTGGCTAAGTTCTCAGCTCTGTGAGACCAGAACTATCTCTTGATCACTGCTGTAAGGTTACACTGTACCTGGCACAGGTATTTGCCAAATAAAAAAAAGATGAATGGTTTATGTCCATCATCTCATTTATCACTTTAACTCTGCTCCCAGTTTTCAGGGGAGGTAAAGAACCCTGGCAGCTAACTGGTAAGTAGCAGAGGTAGGACTGTAGTGGTAGCTTGACAGTGCCAGAATCCTGGCTCTTTTTATTTAGTGCTTTGTGTGTGTGATTATTAATTTGTTTGTTTTGAGACAGGGCCTTTATGTGACCCTGACTGGCCTCAAACTTACATAATACAGGTTGCTTTGAGCTATTAATCCTTTTGCTTTCACCTTCTGAGTTGTTTCAGTTAAAGGCTTATGTCAACTGTGCTCTAAGACATCACTCTGGCTTCTCTCATCTGTAACTCAAGGAAGGTAGTATCCTGGAAACTTACTGGACAGTAAGTGCGAAGGCTAGGCGCATGATAAAGTACCTGACCTATAACCTTGAGTGGATGAGTCATGTAGTTCTTGGTTTATTATATGTTCATCTGCAGGTGTCTGTCCCCCTGCAGAGTCATTGTTGAGGGTTTTGGTGACAGTACACACACACACACACACACACACACACACACACACACACCCCAAAGGAAATCCAAATGGAACATGGTGGTATCTTGGAGACAGTGCTATTGTCCTGTGCCTTCTCTGTCCCCTTAGAACTTGATGGGTAGAGAGGTCTATAAGTATGAGAACATAGGCCCCAGATGGAGGCTGGTGCTATCTGTAGTCTGACCTACATGCAATTCTCCCATAAATACTATGGAGGAAAACTACCTTTGATAAGCAGTTATAGCCCTTTCCTTTCACTGTTCAACTGCTGGTTTTGTTCTGAGGTGATACTGTAGCTTTTGGTTTTCTGATGCTACTCTGGCAGTCATTCTTTTTTGTAGTAGTTTTGTTAACCTTAGAATAGGGGTTTCCAAATGTGGAGAGAAAATATGAAGTAGCTATCATGTCAGGGAATGTTGCTGTTTTCTGAGTTCTGCTGTAAAATGGCTGGCTATTGAGGGGTTTGGTCTGGTTTCTATGTATGTGTATGTATGTGTATATTCAAAAAGTCCAAATCTGTTCTGTATTCTCACCGAATCATCAACTGGGACTGAGAGAGAGTGACTTTGCTCAGCGTTTGAATATGCTAGCAGGGTATCTTCTGAGTTCTATTTTGCTGCCACACTAGGATTTTCAAAAGGTTTAATTTTTTTCTATTCTTAAATCATGAGGGACACTTGCCAACTCTATTGGAGTGGATCAGAAAGCCTCTTTGTGTCTCACTTGTAAGTATGCTGGAGGTAATAGGCCTTTGTGAGCTTTCTGAAGAAGGAAAAAAAAAAACAAAACATTCTGTGGTCTCTAAAAGAGCTAGATCCATCCCCTGCCCAGATTTGCAAGAAAGTTCTAGTCTTAATCAAGACTTTGTTTTAAGATTTTATTTATTTATTATGTATATAACATTCTGCTTCCATGTATATCTGCACACCAGAAGAGGGCACCAGATGTCATTATAGATGGTCATGAGCCACCATGTGGTTGCTGGGAATTGAACTCAGGTCCCCTGGAAGAGCATTCAGTGTTCTTAACCTCTGAGCCATCTCTCCAGCCCCAGAAGACTTTGTTTTTAATGCAGAATTTTTAGCTTTCTATTACTGTGAGGGACTTAATTTCCATGCTTCCTTCAGGCAAAGATAATTACCTAAGAGTCTTAGTTTATTCCTCAGGAGATCTAAAAGGTTAAATTTTTAACATGGTTGCTTTATGGATGTGTGTATTTTTATATTAAACAGACTCATCACCAACTATGCACAAGTAATACTGTAAGCCAGAGCATCCTTAATCAAAGAAAGAGTGCTAGCTCCATTCTTGAGAAGGAACATGTTGTGTATTTTACAAATGTGATGATACGTCATCCAAGTCAATGGGCACTGAACTCAAGTTTTAGAATACCCAGTTATAGCCAGCAAGGTGCGCAGCAGATAAGGGCACCTGCCACCAAGCTGATGATCTGAGTCAATCCCCAGGACCCACATTGTGGAAGGAGAGAACCAACTTTGATAAGCTGTCTCTGACCTCCACATGTCCATATACACATATATACATGCACACAAATAAAGTAAAAACTTGTGATACTTTCAAATTTTGTGGGAAAAAC